TCGTCCTGGGCTGGAGGCGGTGATGACTCGGGAGGGCGGTGGGGGGCGGGGTCGGGTAGGCGAGAGGTGGGAACAGGGGATGGGGGATGGGGGAGGCATCTGGGCATCGAGAGGAAGCCCACCTGGACAGATCGCCAAAGAATCTGCACGGGTTCATTCAACATTTGTATTTGAGTGTGCCTGTGCAGTCCCCATTCGTTTTCGCTAACTGCAGTGCGTTTCGCCGGATGCATTAGGTTGATTCTGAACGTCGATGTGCTACCATGAATGGGTCCACCCCGAATGCGGTGCCGTGCGCTCGTGGAAGTACCCCTGGCTCCTTTCACGAAAGGGCGTTTTGCCAAAGAGTGCCCTGTCAATCTTCGAGGTGTAGAGGAGTCGTCCCGCGCAGCCCCAGCGTCAGCCGTCTTCTTTTCCCCCGTCGCTGCCGCCTCGGGTCGGCCAGCTGCTGCCTCGGATCGCGCGCGTTCGCGCCAAGGTGGACTCGTGGAGCGGACGGGGCTCATCGAGGCGGCATCGGGTCGTTGGAGGGGTGACGGGAGGGAAATCGGTATCGGTTCGGAGAACAAATACTGCACAAACACATGTTTGGCGGTTCGCGCGGATCTCTCGGATCGGCGCTGGATCCCCTGGCGGCGCCTCCAGCGCCGCCCTGGGCGCGTTGCGTGCGCCAGGGAGACGGGTCCAGCGCCGATCCAGCGAAACCGCGCGGACCTCCAAGAGTTGATGTGCACACAATTTGCTGTTCTTCGATCGGTATCAGTATGGTGCGGCCCGATCCCTGTTCGTGAAGCCGAAGACGATTATGTGGACTGCTGAGGCGAGAGCTGCGAGAATGGGTCCCATCCTGCACTTGTGGGGGCCCGATCGAAGAGGGAACCGAGCACAGGAACAAGACCGAGGACGGGAGCCGGATGAGTGCAGAGGCGGGAGCGAGGGGGGGTATGACGGACTATGGGAGGAGGGAGGATGGGGAGGAAGATGGGGAGGAGCAGAAGGAGGAGGAGGCAGAACGCAGTCCGTAGCCCTCTCCTGTGCTTCGGATCCGCGAAGCGCACCCGCAAGCGTGGACGATGCGACGGCGCCTGGGTACCATCGCCATTCAGGTGGCCAGTTTTGTGCACGGCTCTTGCAGAAAATCTAGCGGTCCGGGCAAATGAGCATATCCAGACCGTGGCCTGAGAAGTGGCAGCACATGTCGCGTTTCGGAGCGTCTCATTCTCACGTTCCGATGGACTCTCCAGCAGGTTGATGGTGATTTGGGCGGATTTGGTGCAGGGCGTCGCAGGTGTTTGCGATGTCTCCGTGCCTCACACTTTACACCATACGTCACACGACCAAGGATCGCGGACTTGTGACGCCTTCCACATTTGAAACCAATTAGGAACCCGTCAATGCCACGCGACCCACATTGCAAACATTATGTTAACCGATCAAGCAACCAAAGGGGGGCCGACCGTAGGACGACATTATCTCTTGACGTCGCAGTGCTAAACCCGCTCCATGAAATGCTAATTGGCTTGCTCAATGCATTTGATGTGGGGAGATTGTCAAGACTTTCAGGTGTAGCGAGCCTAGGTTCTCGCTTTGAGTTTCGGACGTGGCCAGTTGTGTACTCGCTTGTGTCGCACAGCAGGCAGAGGAGAGATGTACATCTGAGGGCGGACGAGGCCGAGGAGGAGGAGGAGGAGGAGGAGGGGCACGTGGTCGAGGAGGAGTAGGAGGATGGGTGAGAAGGAGGTGGATCAGTCTCTCTCAGTTTACGTTCGTATGCTGGGCTTGGCAATTACATTTCGACTAACGATGGGACTCACATCATCGAGATGTGGAGAAGTTAAGATGTCTCGGTGGTTGTCCTTGCAAGGTTCTCGGTGGGTTCTGTGAGGCGCCAGACGATTTCTGCAAGGTTCCACAGGGCCCAGGGCGGGCCCAGGTTCTCAGTACATGGTTCTGGGGGATGTGGTTGTGGTGCTTGATTCTCTGACCGTGGGCTCTGAGGCACGAGTGTCTTTAAGATTTCGATGGGCCCGCGCCGGACACGGGAAGGCTCGGGATGGGCCCGCGAGGATATTTGAACTGCTCGGCTGGACTCCAATGGGGACTTTCCATTGAGTTTCTGGCATGATCCAGTGGGTCCGCGGTCCTCGTCTTTCGTCCTCCCCTTCCCCCTCCTCGTCCCCTCGTAGGACCCCGTCTTCCACGGGTTCGCATCGGTGCCACGCGCGTCGTCTGTCCACCTGCCACAAGAAGCTCACGCTTTTCCAGACGTAGCACGCTGATGTGGTCGTCCGACTGGCGTGATATGGATACGGTAGGTTCGCGTCGTGTCGACCGGCGGCGACCCCGCCGCCGACGTTCAACGTTGAACGCCAACGGCGGCCCAGAATCGGTCGGTGTTGAACGATCGGACGTTGCGGAGACGGCCGATCGGTCAAGGTTGAACGATCCAGCGCGGTGTCAGGAACCAACGCCAGGGTCGACACGGCACGGACCTGCAGTACCGTTGTTCACGAGACGCAGACAGATCCACCATCCCGCTGGCGCGCGGTCGCGCGGCTTCGCGCGGGGCGTCCGCGAAAGCAGGGGCCCTCGCCCGCGAGGCCAGGGATCTCGAGACCCTTCGCGCCCACGAGTTGTGGCTCTCCGACCTCTCCTCCTATCCCCTGTGCTGCTCCTCCTCCTCCTCCTCCTCCTCCTCCTCCTCCTCCTCCTCCTCCTCCTCCTCCTCCTCCTCCTCCCCCTCTTTCGAAACCAGAACGGTGACTACATTGGACGAGTTGGACCCGGTCCTGCGCCAGAGTTCCTGCGGGGCGTTTCTGAGCAGGCGCGCTCCGCCGCGGCGAAGGGCTGCCACAGCGCCTGCCTCTGTTCCGGGCTGCGGTCTCCACGCCATCCGCTGAGGAGCACGGGCGGGCATCCCCGCGGGGCGCGCGCACGGCCCCGACGTTCGGTCGCTCCCCTCCCTCGTTCTCGTCCCCCTCCCCCCTTTGTTCCTCTCCCTCCTCCTTCCAGCGCCGCCGCCCTCCCCAGCCTCCCTCCTCCAGCGCCGCCTCCCTCCGCCCCCTCCTCCCTTCGCCTTCCCTCCACCCTCCTTCCCCCCTTCTCCCCTTCCTCTCCGCCCCCCTCTCGTCCTTCGCTACTTCCCTTTCTTTTTACTTCCCTCGTTCCCCTTCTCCACCTTCCCTCCTCCCGCAAGCACAAGCGGCTGCGGGGGGGGTTCGCCTGTTTAGGCTTCAACTCGCCATGTAGCTGTCTTCAGCGCCTCGCCGTGGCGTGCTTGCGGCAACTGGGAGGATCCTGCGTATTCCATCGGCTTCGCTGGTATGCAGTATTCGACTGGTTGGCTAAGGCTGGGGGAATTCAGTGTCGTGCTTATCCTTTTCTGGTATGTTGGCTGAGCCTGGCCCAGGCCCACGTGGCAAGCAAGGCGCCCGCCTTATACTGGTCTGGGATGCTTATTTGTTGTTCCTGCGAGTGGTCTGGTTGCGAGGCCGTCTGCGGCGGATGCGATCTCAGTTTGGTGCCGTTCGTCGCAATTCTGCGCGTTGGGAGTTTGAGGTTGCCCGATGACCAGTGGGATGTACTTGTTCCTCGGCGCTTTCCATTGTAGTGGGCCGTATCGAGCAGACTCCGTTTCGGCTGAGCCGCCATTTCCTTTTCAATGGAACCGTTCGAGTGTGCGACCTAAGCGTGGTCTTGGGATGGAGTGAAATTTCAGTTATCCTGGTTTTCCTGGTGCTGGCGTGAGGGACTCGCTCGTGGTATCGGTTTTGGTGACGTTCCACGTATTTCCCGTTCAGTGACTCCCGCTTCTGGGTCGCGTCGTCCGTCTACTTGCTCGCCTTCTTCCACGGAAAGCTCAGGGGGAGGTAGGTGCTTTGTATCGCACCGCGATTGTTCCATCACCATCATCATCACCTTCCCTCCTCCCTTCTCCGGGTGGCTTCCCGCTTCCAACATGCCCCCTGTGTTGCCATAGCCAAGTCAGGCTTTGAACGCGTTTCTTTTTCATTCGTGCAACCCGTCACGTCCGTGACGGGACGGAGGGGCCGCCCTTGCCGTAACGGCAACGAACGTGCGGGGAAAGGGGGTGGTTGGGCGCCCCCCTCTCCCCCGACAGTTATGGCGCCGAGCTCACAGGCATGGCGTGGTGCTGCTAGGCATCGGAGAGCCTCCAGACGCCTTCAGAGGCGGTCGTCGTCATCGTCGTCGTCGTCGTCGTCGTTGTCGTCGTCACCGTCTTCGTCGTGGTGGTCGTCGTCGCCGTCATCGTCGTCGTCGTCGTCGATAACGTCGTCGTATTCATTTCCGAGCGTCTCGAAGTGCCTGCAGACGCGTCCAGAGGCATCTGGAGATCTCCTGAGGCCTCTGAAAACCTTCAGAGGCGGCCGTCGTCGTCGTCCTCGTCCTCGTCGTCGTCGTCGTTGCCGTCGTCGTCGGCAGCGTCGAAGGGCATCCAGGCGCCTGCAAGCGCGGAAGCCGCCTTCGTCGTCGTCGTTACCCCCGTCGACGTTCTCGTCTTCGACGTCATCGTCATTCTTGCCCTCGGTCTCGTCGATAACGTCGTTATCGTCGTCGACGTCGTTGCCGTCGTCGTCGTCGTCGTCGTCGGCGGCATCGACGTCCTCGTCGTTGTCTCCGTCCTCGTCCTCGTCCTCTTCCTCCTGTTCGTAGTCGTTTTTTTTCTAGGCCTCGAAGGGCCTCCAGACGTCTCCAGAAGGCTCCCGAGTCCTACGGAGTCATCCAGAGACGCTCAGAGGCGATATTGTTGTCGTCGTCGTCGTCGTCGTCGTCGTCGTCGTCGTCGTCGTCCTCGTCCTCGTCGTCGTCGCTGTCCTCGTCGACGTCGTCGTCGTCATCGCGGTTTGTTATCCTTGTTCTTGTCGTTGTCCTCGTCCTCATTGTTCTCGTCGTCGTCGTCGTCGTCGTCGCTGTCGTCGTCGTCGTCGTCGTCCCCCCTCCAGCGCCTCCGCCCGCCGGCGAGGCCCTCAGGCCGCTGGCCGTGGACGCCCAGCCGCCCCCGGCCCAGGCGCCCGCGGCGCAGCGCTGCGGCAGGGGGGGTGGTGGGCAGGGCCGTCGACGGGGCCGAGGCCCGCTCGACTCGCGGGGCCGTGGCCGTCGGCGGGGCGGGCCGGGTCGGGCGAAGCGGACGGGAGCCTCTGCGGGGCGGGCCGGGTCGGGCGAAGCTTACCAGCCTGGAACATATCCCTATCCCTATGCTGGGCATCCCCTCGTCACGATGCCAATCTCATGGATTCCCTTATTTTTCAGGGCGGACCCCTAAGATTGTCATCGCCTTTGGGCGTGTCAATCTGAGTGATAGGGATACGCTCGAGGCTGGTAAGAAGCCGGCAAGAATTCTGCGGGTCGGGTGGGGCGGGCCGGGAGGTCTTCGGGCGGTTTCGCCGGTCCTTTTGCCCGTGGTTCGGCCTCGGGGTGCCTTCAGCGGCTGCGCCCCGCCGAGGGCTTTCCGGGGGTGCCCGGGGGTCGTCCCCAACGGCCGCTAGAGAGATGCGAGCCATGGCCCGCGCGCGGACGACGAGGGCCCCGTCGCCGCTCGAGGTCGGCGCGCTCCGCCTCCGAGTGGGGCAGAGCACGGGCTCTGTGTGGGGGGGGGGCTTTCCCGGATGCCCTGGTCAGCGGCGACTTCGGGGCCTTTCAAAGGGTCCCAGGGCCATTTCAAAGGCCTTTTCTGTCTCATTTACCCCCTGGGCTCGCCGCCGACCTCGTGCTGCAGCGACGGCAGCAGGGGCGGAGAGCCGATGGGGGGGAGCGCCGCTGCGTGTATCCACTGGCTTGCTCACGTTCAGGAGGAGAAAAAGCACAGACACAATGAATCGTCGATTCCCAGGAAAATATGCGAAAGCATGGGAAGTGGGGGGGAAGACTAAAAAAAAATAAAAATGAAAATATGAGGAATCCTGTGATTTGCGTGTATTTATTTGTGTGTCCCGGGGCCCATTGTCACGTCGTCGGCGAGGGCCGTGCTCATCGTGGGGCTGCCGCCGTCGTGGTGCGCGTCGGGCCAGGTCGCGGGGCTGCCGCCGTCGCTGCGACTCGGGCCGGCTGCGCGCCCGTCGGCGCAGCTCTGTGCCTCTGCCCGTGTTTTTTTTGGCGGCGCCGCGCGGCGGCGTCCGCTGCCCAGCGCCGCGGTCGTCTCGGGCGGGCGAGTGCCGTTTTGTTTCCCCTTGTCTGTTTCGGTGGCCGTTACGGTATCCGCGCTTAGGCCTCTCCGCTAGCGGAGACGACCCCCGCCTCGCCGCCGACGCAGACTGTTTCGGCGGCTGTGAGCTACCGCCGAAACATTTCGGCGGCTGTGAGCTGCCGACGCGAAATGTTTCGGCGGCTGTTGCCCCCCCTCTTCTCCTCTGCCTCGTCTTCCCCCTCCTCCCCCTCTATCGGCAGGGGTGGGCTGGGCCCCCTTCGTCCGATCGGTTGTTTTTTTTCAAACAGCCTGGAATGGTCGGACGCTGTGCAAACAGCCTTGTCTCAGGAAAAGAAGAGCATACAGACACAATTAATAAGTCTCGAGTCTCCAGAACTACATATACATACATGTATATAAATATAGACATCTGGAAAAATATTGGAAGTGGGGGGGAAGACAACAACCCAGAAATGATCATGGCAAAATATGGGGAATCCTGTGATTTGTGTGTATTCATTTGTGTGTCCCAGGGCCCCATTCACTGTCTGCTTCGGCGGCTGCACCCGGAGGGGGGGCAGCCCATGGGGGGGCACGTCGCGCCGTTCAGTTTCCCGACTCTTCAGGCGACGCTTCAAGCCGGGCAGGGATGGCCTTGCTCCTCATTCCTCTTCGTCGTCCTCCTCCTCCTCCTCCTCATCCCTCCTCCTCCACCCTCCTCCTCCTCCCTCCCCCTTCTCCTCCTCCTCCTCCTCCTCGTCCTCCTCGTCCTCCCCTCTTTCTTCGGATTCTTCCTCATCCTCCTCCTCCTCCTCCTCCTGCTCCTCCTCCTCCTCCTCCTCCTCCTCTCTCTCCGACAATAGCGTGGATGCAAGCAAACTTTCGCCATGAACGGGTCCGGAGACTTTGCGCTGCCTTCGGTCTCTTGGGGCCCCCCCCCATGGCCCCAGGACCGTCAAATAGCGGCTCAGGATGGGCTTGCCTTAGGGGGGTCCTGTCAGGACCCGCTTGTCTTATGCCAGACTACATGTGTATGTGGCGAGCCTGGTGGGAAAGTGAGAAAGAGAAGGCCCTCTCAGTCTGAGAAGTTCTCTAAGATGTCCGCAAATGCACAGACAACTGACCAGAAGGCGCGAGGGCTTCTGAGACGACCCGCCGCCTCCTGAGAAGGCCTTCTTCTCCTCATGTCCCCCCCGGCTCGCCGTCCAGTCTGGGGAGAGGCCGGCGTCCAGTGCTCAGCCAGGCAGCCTGCCCCAGTCGCGGCTTTCGGGCGCGCCGGTTGGGTCGACAGGCCCAGCAGCACAGGTCGGCGGCAATGTCCGAGCTCTACCCTCGCCGATCAACGATGCAGGCAACTCGACGGGCGACAGGGGTACCATCGAGCACAGAGGATGCCCCCTAACCCGAATAGCACGATAAAGAGGTGGCCGAACTTAAGTCCCCGTCGACGCATTAGGGATAATACGTCTTGATGCATGTGCAGGAAAAGGCCCCCTATCCTTAAGTTTCCCGCCCTGCTAACTTAGGTCCCCTCCCAGAAGGGTTAGGGGTACTTTTGCTGCAATGCCGTCGAGCTTTTACTGCTCATACCATCAGTGTTCGGAATTCGTCGAGCACGTGTCGAAATCCGAACCATACCCCCGCCTCGCATCGATTCCGGGCAATCGATGGCTGGTGGGGGTGGGCTTTGGACGTCGCCACCCACAGTCAACCCGCAGAGTAAAGATGAGCAATTTTCCAAGAGTGCTGTTGCATCCTTCCCCATCCAGCCCATCCTTGGTTGCTTTCACTGGCCGCGCCACGCTCGCAGAGTCACGACGCGGCCTTCCGAGGCGCTTGCATCCTTATCGTGCGTCTTTGTTATGCGGCTTGTCCGTAACAGGTTGAGGTCACCCAGTGGCCGTTCCAAGTCTGTATTTTTGGGACTCTGGGAGGCGCTCTCCTGTTGCAGGAGGTCCCCTCCGCACAAGGCCAACGAAGAGGGGCCCGTCGGCGCCGTGTCTTTTTGGTGTTCGAGGGCCCCGCCCTCCCGTCGGATGCTAGCAATCGTTCCCGCGTCCACCACGGCTGGGATCGCCTCGAAATCAGGGTCAAAACGCACCCCATGAGAGAGCCGCGGATTAGCGGTATGGGTCTACTTTCGTTTCCCCGGAGGGAGGGAGGCAGAAGGGAGGGTGGATGGATGAGGATGGAGGGAGGAGGGATTGGCGCAGTGCGAGGTGTGCATGGGGGGTGGGAGGGAGAAGCGATGGCGGGGGAGGAGGGAGGAAGGGGACGCGGGGCGGGAGCGGCGCGAGACGAGGAGGGGTGGTGGTGGGGGGCTGAGGAGGAGGTGGAGGGGGAGCGCGGGGGGAGGAAGGAGAGAAGGACGCAGTGCGCGGTGGGCAAGGGGCAGGGCGATGGCAGGGCGACCCTCTCCCCAGGCCGCGGCGGCGCCTTCGTCGGGACCGGGCAGGCCACCACCGGCGCCCAGGCCGAAGGCGCGCCCATCGGCGCCGAGGTTTCTGCTTTGTCCCGCCCCCCGCCCAGGAGCCCGATATCCTTCGTGGCCCACCTGCTGCCCCCCCCCCGCGTTTGCTTCCGCTCCTGCTGTTTGCAATCAGCGCCTGTTCAATGCTGCGAGTAGAAGCTGTTGGGCCGGCAAAGAGTGTCGCGCACTACGAGCTACAAGGAGAGTTCATCAGTTCCAGTTCTGAACAGGACGGACGCAATAAGTGCGCAGATAAGAGTTTGCCATCAATGAGACTCGTAAAAGGTGGGGGGACTGCAACTTCAATAGCAGTATGGCATGACAGCGCGAGTACCAGTAAGTCCAATAAAAGCACAGAACTACAAGGATTACCACTATCAATCCACAATTGCGATGCAGTGAATCACGCTTGTTTGGCATGTTTTTGGTTCATTATTGCAAGCTTCTTGTGGTTGTACAATGTTGTACGCTTATTGTGTTTGCGCTTGTAGTTTTCTTATTCTCTCACCCGGTGAACTGATTCTTAGGCTTACGCCACACCGCCGACCCCTTGTTTATGCCAATCGGGGGGCAGTAGAAGCTGCGAAGGGGTGAAAAGGCGAGTGATATTTGTTTGGTGTCTGTTCGCCGCCACTGCCAGAGGGTCTCGGGCAGTTCCGCGGGGGTGTCCGAGCGGACGGCGACACCGCGGGCGGTCGTGGTCTCATCTGGGGCCATCTGAGAGGCATAATGGAGCCAGGTTGGGCTCGGGAATGTCTTCGAGCCGTTTCGGTAGCGGTCGGGAGTTTTTTTGGGGGACTGTCCAGGAGTCATTATGGGTCAACTTGGCCATGTGCGAGGCCACGGCGCGTGCAAAGGGTGTGCCGGCATGGGGTATACTTGCATGCGAATCTTCCCACTGGGCCCCACGGTGGACGTATTCTGGAGCCACGACACGATCGATGTGTGTGTGCGCTTGGGGTTGGAAGTTTACGGGACCGCGGGTACTGGGGCTATGGTTGGAGCGCGCCGTGGAGCCACGAAATCTATGAGGGACGTGCCCAATGTTCGCGGGGAACCGCGCGTATACTCGGGTTTTGGGGCCTTTCATTCAAGTTGCCGCGTGCGGGGTGTGCCAAATTGGAGGCATGTTCACTAGATGGATTCCGTCTTGGGGGCCTCTTGGGCCATTTTGGGGCTATCTTTGGAGCCTTTTTGCCCGTCTTGGAGCATCGGAAAGCCGGAAAGGCGGAGAAGCAAAAAACGTCGAAAAACACTCTGGAAAATCAACAATTTTAGACTCTTTGGGCCCTCTTGGGAGGCTTGTTTGGGACCTCGGGGGCCGTCTTGGAGACCTCTTGGCCCGTCTTGGGGCCATCGTGGGCGTCTTGGAGCGGTCGTTTGGCGTCTCGGAGCCTTCGTGGGCCGTATTGGAGGCCTCTTGGGGGCTTCTTGGCCCGTCTTGAGGCCCTCTTGGGCCCGGAAAAACCCTGGAACCGCTCGTCCCGGCCGTGCTGCGCTCGTCCCGGCCCCCTCCCCCCCTCCAAATCGGCCCTCTTGGGCCGTCTTGGGGACCTCTTGGGCCGTCTTGGGGCCGTCTTGGGCCGTCTGGAGGCCGTCTTGGGGGCCTCTTGGGCCATCTTGGGGCTATCTTTGGGGCCTCTTTGGCCGTCTTGGAGCGTCGGGAAGCCGGAAAGGCGGGAAAGCAAGAAACGTCGAAAAACACTCGGGAAAATCAACAATTTTAGACTCTTTGGGCCCTCTTGGGAGGCTTGTTTGGGACCTCGGAGGCCGTCTTGGAGACCTCTTGGCCCGTCTTGGGGCCATCGTGGGCGTCTTGGACCGGTCGTTTGGCGTCTCGGAGCCTTCGTGGGCCGTCTTGGAGGCCTCTTGGGGGCTTCTTGGCCCGTCTTGAGGCCCTCTTGGGCCCGGAAAAGCCCCGTGAGTCGCTCGTCCCGGACCCCCCCCGCTCGCGCTCCCCCCCCCCCCCTCCAAATCGACCGGACCGGGGCTCCCGGGGGAGGGGTTTGGGGAGGGGGAAGCATCTCACACGCCGATGATCCCCAAGGGGTCGGCGGATTATGTACTTTCATTTCCCACGTGGATATATGTATGTATATACAGATACTGATATTCGTATCCACGCCGTCCTGTGTTATGAGGTTCTTGCTTGATCGAATTCGTGGACTCCCAACCTTGGGAAGATGGACGATTTAAGCATGATAGAAGTGACTCATACTTTCCTCAGCGTGATCCTGCGGACTTGCCACATACTTAGATCGTTTGGGGGCGTTCTTGCAGTTTCCCATGTACGGCATTTGACAATGTTAGGATTTTTGCCCGAATTTGCCATTACAAGTTGGTTTTGGCCGCTGGTGGGTTGGCCTTCAACCTCGCTCAGGGACCTGCCGCCCGCGAGGCTGTATAATCCACAAGTATCCTGCTGCTCCTCCGATTCCCCCTCCCCCCGCCCCTCCCCGCCTGCCGCGAGGGGGAAGAGGAGGCGGGGGAGGAGGCGGAGTCGGAGGAGGAGGAGGAGGAGGAGAGGAGGATCAATATTATGATGAAATGCTGATGGTGATGATGATGATGAGGATGAAGATGAGGATGAGGATGGTGATGGTGATGGCGATGCTGATGACGAAGTTGATAATGATGAGGATGATGATGATACTGATGATGATGATGATGACGATACTGATGCTGAGGATGCATGGTGATGATGCTGATGATGATCATGGTTATGATGATGATGATGATGATGGTGCTGCTGATGATGATGCAGACGATGATGATGATGATGATGATGATGATGATGATGATGATGATGCTGATGATGCTGATGATGATGCTGGCGACGACGACGACGCCGACGACCATGATGATGACGATGATGCTGATGATGCTGATGCTGATGATGATGCTGATGATGATAAGGAGGAGGAGGAGGAGGATGATGAGGAGGAGGACAAAGAGGAGGATTCGGACGAGGAGTAGAACGAGGAATTAGATGAGAAGGAGGAGTAGAAGGCGGAGGAGGAGGAGGAGGAGGAGGAGGAGGAGGAGGAGGAGGAGGAGGAGGAGGAGGAGGAGGGGGAGGAGGAGGAGGAGGAGAAGAATGAGGAGAAGGAGGTTCCGAGGGCCCGTGGGCCCACGAGGCTGCGCGCCATTCCCCCCCCCCGCTGGCGCCGAGGGAGGGCGCCGTGATGTCAGCTGGCGCTCGCTTGGGACCCGAGGTCGAGTCAGCGGGCTCTAGCAATAGTCGGGGGCAACGATAGGGGGATGTGTCGACCCCCAATCGCCCATTGATCGCCGATAGGGCCCGATGAACAGGCGGGTGCGGATGTTCTACCGGGGGCGTATGGCGGGTCTATCGGCGATGTATCGCCAACTCCTGGTCGATGCATCCCCCCCGTGCCAGTCCCCCTCCTTTCGTTGCCCCTCACATCGGCGGACGGGTGGGGGCGAAGGGGCACGGGGGCATCGGCATCCCCGCCCTCGCGGTTTCGGATGCCCCGGGGCAGCGAAGCCGCGCGGAGACGCGGTCGCACGGATGCGTTCCGCGCGGGGCGTCCTCGCGGGCTGGGCCTGCGAGGCCCCGACCTCGTGGATGCGCACACGTGCTTCGCCCACGAGGGTGGCGGGGGATGACCGGGGATGGAGTGCAGGGGTGGCAGAAGGCGAGGGGAGGAGGGGAGGGGGAGCGAGGCGGAGGATGGGAGGCTCCTGCTGCATGTTGGCAGTTGGTCCATGCCAAGCACGCCGTCCTTTCAGCGGTGGCTGCTGGCAGCCGCAATCTACGCACCCGATGGCAGCAGTGGGTGGCGTCAAGCTCCCTGAGACTTGGCTCTCGTCGGCTCTTGTCCTGTCTTGACCCTCGTCGTCCTCTCCCTCCCCCTCCTTCCGACGCCGTCACGTGCGGCTTCGAGGAGGTAGGGGGGGGGGCAGGCAGGAGGGAGGCAGGAGTACACGGTCCGCCGATTTCGTGTTCCTGTGCTCAAGTGCGCCTCGCGTGGGGTTTTCAAGCCCCGAGCCGTCCTCGACCGTCGGGCACCCAGAAGGGGGCTGGGCGCTCGCCCGGCGGCAAGGGCCTGGCCTCTTCTGCGTTGGCATCCGGTCCGATCCGATCCGTCTCCCGGGGAGGGAGGGGGCGGCACGGGGGGGGGGGGAGGGGCTCAAGAGACGGGGTCAAGGCAGACGGTGGTCAGGCGGAGCGCTGGATCTCGCAGGATCTGGCAGAGCTGGGGCTGCATCGACCTGGGCCTGGGCGCGGGATCCCGCAGGATGTTGCAGGATCTTGCAAGGCCTGACCGACCGGGGTCTGGATTGACCCGGGTCGGGAGATCCCCGAAGGAGGGAGGGGCGTCGCCCCAACACGCTAATACTTTGGTGCGCGTCGCCCCCCTCCCCCCAGGGGCGACGCGCGCGCCCAGGCATCTCAAAGTATCAGTTCCGTGGCGGGCGCTTCCTGACCATGCCGCTCGCTTGGGAGACAACGTACTCCAATATGGTTGTTATAGATGGTCGGTTCGGACGTGCGCCTCAGAGGAGGACGCACAATACCTGTATGTCCACACGCGTCCTGAGGAGGGGGAGGCGGACGTCGCCCTACCTACTTGCCGAACTAACTACCTACCTACCTACCTACCCACCTACCTACCTACCTACCTACCTACCGACCAATCGACCGACTGACCGACCGACCGACCGACCGAACTACCTACCTACATACATACATGCATACATACATACATGCTACATGCATACATACATACATACATACATACATACATACATGCATGCATGCATACATACATACATACATACATACAATCATACAATCATACATACATACATACATACGTACATACATACATACACGCATACCTACGTGTATACCTTCATACATGCATACTTGCATACATGCATACATGCATACATACATACATACATCAGAGTGAGGGAGGGGCCGAACCGTCATTCATTGTCCCCGGGTGCGTGGCTTAAATGCGGATAAGTGGTGAAGATCGCATGCCCTTCGTGGCTCCGTTGTCGCCTTTCGTGGCCCCCTTCTTGCCCTTCGTGGCCCCGCTGTCGCCCTTCGTGGCCCCCTCGCTGCCCTTCGTGGCCCCTTCGCTGCCCTCAGTGGCCCCGCTGTCGCCCTTTGTGGCCCAGTATGCGTATGCCCTTCGTGGCCCCCGCTCGTTCGCGCTCTTCGTGGCCCCATGCGCATTCCCTTCGTGTCCCCGCTGTCGCCGTTCGTGGCCTACTTCGTGTCCTTGTGGCCCTGCTGTCGTTCTCTCTCGCTCTCGCTTTCGCTCGTCGTCGTCGCCGCCGTCGTCGTCGCCGTCGTCGTCGACGTTGTCATCGTCGTGGTCGGTCCCCTGTCCGTCCCTCTTGGGGTCGGGCCGACGGTCCGCGGCCGCCCCGCCGCTTGCCGGGGCCAGGCCTGCAGGGAAGAAAGGTATACCCCCCAAAAGGGGTTCGATCGAAGACGAAGGGGGCGGGTACCGAGGGTTTGGGAAATACGCGTTATTGGACACTCGAGCAGATAAGGGCGAACAGTCTTAGAATGATTGTTGTTGTTGCTGTTGTTTTTTGTTGTTGCTGTTGTTGTTGTTGTTGTTGTTGTTGTTGTTGTTGTTGTTGTTGTTGTTGTTTGTTGTCGTCGTCCCCCCCGCGACCCAGCCCGCGACCCACCTGCGACCCACCCGCCGACCCGCTCGCGACCCAACCCGCGACCCGCTCGCGATTCACCCGCGACCCACCCGCGACCCACCCGCGACCCACCCGCAACCCACCCGCGACTTGGCCCGCGACCCACCTGCGACCCACGACCCAACCCGAGACTCACCTGCGACCCAACCCGCGACCCACTTACATAGTTTAAGCAAACATTCGGCGCCTGGGGCGGGCTCGTTGTATAGCTTGAAAATGTTGCGCCTGCGGCGGGCTTGTTCAGATCCTCGCAGATTGCAGACGTCCCCGCCGCCCCCTCACTCTTATCCGAAACTGCGGGGGGGGGGGGGGTACTTACAAGCATGAATGCGTACATACATATGCATAGACATGCATCCATACATACATACTACCGACCTCCGACCTACCTACCTACCTACCTACCTATGTACCTACCTACCTACCTACATACTTACGCACCTACCTACCTACCTCCCTGCATGCATGCATGTATGCATACATACATACATGCATTCATGCATACATACATACATACGTACACGCGCACACACATACATTCATACGTACATACATACATACATAAGACTCACATACATACATACATGCATGCATACATTCAGGCATAAGTGCATACCTGGGGGGAGGGTGGCGGTGTGGAAATCACCATTGGGAGCCAGTGACTTGGCACACCGCCGCCCTCTCTGAAGGCACATGCAGCAACACTCGTCGGAGAGTCTCTGTGCAGACCCTTTCGTGGCGCAGGACGGCGGGGCAGAGACGGGGAGGAAAGGGGGAGGCGGGCGGGCGCGGCAGCCGGAGCGGCACACGTTGCATCCCGGCGGCCCGGGGGCGCGGAGGGCGGGGGCGGGGGCGCCACGCGCAGCCCGCGCCAGGCCCCGGCGCGGGCGAAGGACTTCCTGGCTGGGGACCCGTTCACCCGGGAGGACGCGGGGCGGGGCTCCAAAGGGAGGTGGGGTCACGGCAAAGGGGGGGGCCAGGTCCGTCAGAGCGCCGGACCTTGCAGGGTCTTGCAGGGCCAGGGCTGCATTGACCCAGGCTTGGGTGCAGGATCGTGTGCAAGGCCTGACTGACCTGGGTCTGGGTTGACACGTGTCAGCAGATCCCCGATGGACTTTCCCCCCCCCCGCCCAGGTGGGCGTCGCGTAATGATGGGGGGATGCAATTGGGTGGGCAGCGAGAGTGCAGAAAACGGGCCCGTTAGGGCCCCCCAGAAGGGGCCTTGGGGGCCCGAGAGGGTCACCTCTCTTTCCCCCCACCCATCGCCCCCCATTAAGCGACGCCCCAGTGCGCAGACCTCCAGCGTTCGAAGAACCCGGAGCAGCATATCCATGAATTTCCAGAGTTCCACGCGGTTCTCTTGGATTTGTGTTTGAACCTCCGGTGACGGATATAAATGTTTGCCGGGCACCCTTGGGCCCCGCTTTATCCATATCCAACGCCCCCAAACCCCTCGAGTCATGAAAACATCGTGACGGAATGTTTTTCGTTATTTTCGTTCCATGAGGGCCTTCAACGGGCCACAGGATTATCAAAAACCAAGTCAGGATTAAATCAGCTGTCTGGGCCTGGCGTCCCAGGGAATCGGTTTCCAGGCGGTGGGATATGGACACATCCCTGCCTCGCCTTCACCCTTCTCCCTGCTCCAGGGGTGGGTCGCCGCGCTCGCTGGGGTATCTTCGGACGGGGCTAGGACGATGCTAAATTCTTTCCAGAGCGTTCCACGACGCTCTCAGAGCGTTCCGGAACGCTCTGAGATGGCCGCGGCGCCCGAGACATCTTCCGGAGCCGCCGCATCTCAGAGATGATCGACGCATTCTCATCCGCTTTTGTCCTCGCCCGGGTTCCGCCTCGTCTCCCCCGCCGGGAGGAGCTGGACGGCCTCACGGCGGGGAAGCTGCGGACGCTGTGCATCCAGCGGCAGCGCCCCCCCCCCAGCGCAGAGGGGGGTAAGGGGGGAGGGGGACATCATTGTCAGAAGCACCCCCACTTCTCAGAAGGCGCGGGCCCTCTCTCTAGATTGTGGGGCCGTCGCCTCCTGAGAAGCAGCCTCCCGCTAAGAAGCCTTACCCCCTCCCCCTGCCCCCCTCTGCGCGCCGCCAACTCCCTGCGCGCCGCCCCTCTCCTACCCTCCTGTTAGCGCCCCTGGGTCGGGGAAGGAAGGCGGCACCACCACCGGAGGGGGGGGGGCACCTTCAGCGAGGAGGTTCACGACGCCTCCCCGAGCCAGAGTGTCTCGAGCGGGGGGGGGGGTAACCTCACCACCAGGGGGACCCCTTCTTGGCTCCTCCCTGTGGTGGTCCCTGATGGCGGCGGTGCCGCCTTCCTCAGAAGGGGCGCGCTCGTCTCGTCGCCGTCGTCGTCGTCGTCGTCGTCGTCGTCGTCGTCGTCGTCGTCGTAAGCTGCTGCTCCTGCCGCTGCTGCTGTTGCCGTGGTGCGCCGCGGCGTGCTGGCCGCGCCTCCCGCGGCGGGCGCGCCTCTCGCGCGGCGGCGGGGGGCCTCTCCTCGGCCTCGGTGGCGCGCCTCGCGCCGCTGCGCCTCTCCGCCCCCTGCCCTCCTCGCTCTGGTCAGGCTTCGGACTGCGCGCAGGCAGCCCCCCTCCAGGTAGTCGCAAGTCGGGCATGTCCCTCGACAGGAGGAATAGTCAAAAATAGTAAGACGATGACTTGTCCACGTATTTGTGTTATGACGATGTCATGGCTTGTCTACGTATTGTTTTGGATGTGCTTGACTCTCTTCTAGAATTTGCATGCAGGAGCAGATGCCCGACCTAGAGGTAGTCCCAGCTGGCTGGACCTGGCCCCTGAGTTTTGGAGGACAAAATATGGTACCGATACCCTTGCCTTTCCTGCGTTTTCCCCTTGTTGGGCTTCCTGGGAGGCCCTCGTCGCCACCGCTGGATTCGCCTCGAGAGTGTGGTCAGATCGCACCGCGGGAGAGGTCAGGGGAGTATCGGCTCCAACGAATAGTCCAGGGTAGTGTCAACACCCCAGTGTTGCGGATGTTGGTTTGATTGTTGTTGTTGTTGTTGTTGTGGATGTTGTAGTTGTTGCTATGGGTGTGTCTGATAGTTGGTGTTGGCGTTGGTGGTGTTGTTGGTGGTGTTGTTGGTGGTGGTAAGGATGTTGTTGTTGTGGTTGTTGTTGTTGGTGGTGTTGTTGGTTGTGATGTTGTCTGCTGCTGTTGCTGATGGTGTTGTTGTCGCTGTTGGTGTGGTTGTGTGTGTGTTGTTGTTGTTGCTGCTGCTAGTGTTGCTGTTGTGGTTGTGATTGTGGCTGTTGGTGTTGTGATTGGTGGTGTTGTGGTCGTTGTTGTTGTACTTGTTGTTGTGGCTGTTGGTGTGGTGTTGGTGTTGCCGTCACTGTTGCTGCTGCTGCTGCTGTTGCCGGTGTCGCTGTTGTTGTTGGTGGTGTTGCTGCTGTTGTTTGTGTTGTTGGCGGTGTTGTTGCTGCTGTTGTTTCTGCTGTTTTTGCTGTTGCTGTAGTTGGGGATGCTGTGGTTGTCGCTGCTGTTGTTGTTGTTGTTGTTGTTGTTGTTGTTGTTGTTGTTGTTGTTGTTGTTGTTGTTGTTGTTGTTGCGATTGCTGTTGTTGCTGCTGTTGTGGTTGTTGGTGTTGTTGTAGTTGTTGTTGCTGATTGTTCGTGTAGTTGCTGCTGCTGTTGTTGGCTTTGGTGCTGTCGATTATGTTGTTGATGTTGTTGCTGTTGTAGTTGTTGTTGTTGGTGCTGTCGTGGTGAGTGTTGTGGTGTGTTTGTTTGTTTGTTGGTTGGTATGTATGTTTGCTTGTGTGCTTGTTGTGGATTGTGTGCTATCTCTCTCTCTCTCTCTCTCTTTTGACCTATGTGTCGCTCTTCGCTCTCTCTTGTTTGCAGTCTCTCCCTCTCGCTCTCTATCTCTCTGTCTCTCTCTCTCTCTATCACTCTCTCTCTCTCTCTCAAGTCCTCGCCTGTCTCAGCTCCGCAGTCCCTCCTTCCTACTCCTTCTCCTTTCCCTTCCCACTCACGCGGCTCGCTGGCGATCCCTAGGGTAGTCCTTCTACCTGGGGTCTCGGGGTGTCCTGGGGCCCGCACCTAACGTGAAATTCGTTGAGTAGTCGCTCACCGTGAGCCGTGGTTGAGCAAGGACATCTTGGGGCTCCCACCTTTTTTTTTGGGGGGGGGGGTGCGTCGGTCATTCTCTTGCGCAGAATAGGTCGCACACAACTTGAGCTTCTCGGGAGAGAGGTTCTGCGCGGTCTTGGACATATTCGGCCTGATATCGCTCCGCTGCTGCCGCCGCCTTTACCATTCGCAGGTTCTCTTTTTCCTGACCCTCCTTCTCCCCCCTACCCGTCTCCTGCACCAGCCTCGCCAGCTGCAAGTCTTCTCCTTCCTCACCTCGGCAATCCCTCTTCTTTCTGCTCCTCCTCCTCTTTCACCATCCGCGAGTCCTCTTCATCCTGCTGCTCCTTCCCAACCCCACCAGCTCCACCCCCTGCGCCTTCGAATCTGCATCAGCTCTGTCCGTCTCTCTCTCTCTCTCTGTCTCTTGTTTTGTTCCCTGTGCCACACTCTGCAGGGAGACAGCCGCGAAGATGGTTGACGTCCTCTCCAGATCGTCCGTCGTCCTCATTATCCTTCTCCTCCTCATGGGCGCCCACGTCTTCATTGTCCTCCTCATCGCAAGTTCTTCTGATTACTCTTTGCTCTTCCTTGCAGCTTCTCCTACCTCCCCAGCCGTGCTAGTCCTTTGTTCCCGTGGTCCCTTTGTCCTCCTTACTGCTCTGCGCTCCGCAGTTCATGGTCCTCCTGCCTGCATCCTTCCCTTTCACGCCTGCCTCCTCCTCCCAGTTGGTCTCCCTGTCATGCTCCTCCTCCGGTTCCACCTCCCCTCTCCCTCCCCTCCTCCCCGCCCCCCCCCTCCCATCCCTCCAGAATTACACAGTATGAATACTACTCCCCTCCCTGCCCTGGTGACGTCCAGAGGATATCCGGATCCCCTCCGCGCATTGTTGTTGACACCGTATTCCAGGGAAGTGGGTTTTCGCTTGGGTCTTGTTTCGAAATGTTGTTTCCGCTGATGCGCTGGCCCCATTTCTGCCCCTCTGGTTGTTCGAATTCGTTTTCCCGCTGCAGCGCGGGGTTTTTCGGTCCTTCCAGATAGGCCCCCTCCCTCCCCCGGAAGAACCATCTGCAGTGATTCCACATTCGGTGTCGATTATATTATTGTTTGAGCCGCAGAAGCCCCCCCCACACTACTTTGGGACGTCGTCGCTTTCAAGAAATATCGAGTGGATCCGTTTCTGCTCTGAGAAGGCGATGTTGGAAGCAGAGACAGCGGGTGCTCTCCATCAGCCCCGCCTTGTTGAGCTTTTCGGGGAGGTCAAGGAACTAGACATGGAGCCACGATTCGAGACCGGCCCAGACCTCTCGAAAACGCTCCAAATACCCTCCAAGGAACCTGGCGCCATGCCATGACATGCTGCGCGGTGTTGCGTTCTGCGGCGCTGTGCGATGCCACGCTTTGCGTTGTAACGCTTTGAGACACAATGCTTCACCGCGCAATGCCACGCCATGCTATGGCATGCTGCGCTCTGCCATGCTCTCTTCTACGCCTTGCCATGCCGTTCTCTACCAGGCATCGCGTACACTCTCGCGATCATTGCACTGCTCGACATCCGAAGGTGCGAATAGAGAGGATATCTACGCCATGTTAAGGAATGGGAGGGAGGGGTCGGACGCTTTGACATGACGCGACTGAACCTAGCTTGCCCTCCCCCCCCTTTCCTCCCCTCTCCCTCCCCTCCTCCTCCCCTCTCCGTCTTGCCCTTCCCCTCTTCCCTCCTTCCTCCCCCGCTCCTCCCTCCCTTTACTCCCCCCCTTCCCCCCCCTTCCTTTCACCCCCCCCCCTTCCTCCCCCTTCCTACCCCCTCCCCCCCTTCCTCCCCTTCCTCCCCCCCCCCCTTCCTCCATTCTCCCCTCCTTCTCCCCTCTCCCTTCCCTCTCCTCTCCCTCCATCCCCCCCTCTGTCCTCCACTATCCCCTAGCGTGGGCGCCCTCCGCCCGATGGCCTTCCCCCCGCGCGGCAGGGGCTGCCTCCCGGCCGGGGTGTCCGAGAAGGCCCCCCTGGTGGAGGCAGCGCCCATCTTGCTCTTTCCTCCCCAGATTCGGAGGAGGAGGAGGAGGAGGAGGAGGAGGAGGAGGAGGAGGAGGATGCGAGGAGGAAGACGAGGAGGGAGGAGGAGGAGGAGGAAGAGGAGGAGGAGGACGAGGAGGAGAAGGAGGAGGAGAATGACGAGGAGGATAATGACAAGGAGGAGGAGGAGGAGGAGGAGGAGGAGGAGGAGGAGGGACGCATCGACCCCCCATCGCCCAGTCATCGCCGATAGGGGGCCCGCCGGTCTGGTCCTCCTCGTCACCGCTGCCCCCCCTCCTGGTTCGCGAGCCTCTCGCGCTCGTGAGTCGCACGGATATCCAAAGTGCATCCCTCGGATGGCGCGCCCGCGACGCCGGCGGAGGTTCGCCAGGTGGAGTTCTGCGACGCAGAAACAGCGAGGGACACGGTGACGCCTTTTGGACCCGACGGAGTGCAGGTTTGAACGATCGTGGCCGTGACCGATTGAAGGTTGAACGATCGACGCGGTGTCAGAAACTTTCGCGCGTGCAAGCGCCGCACGATTCCACCGTAGAAGCACCCATGCTTCTTAGGCGGCGCGGGCCTTGTTTGTACACATAGGGCTGGCGCCTTCTGAACAGCACCATCCTTCTAAGAACCCCTCCCCCCTGCCCCCTTCCCCTTGTGCGCGCAGAAAAGAGAGGTGGTGACCCTCTGCTACGGGGCTTGTGTTTCATCCCGAGCCGTTTCTTGACGGTCCTCGCGGCCCCCGCGCGAGCCCCCAGGGGGACGGACGCGGTCAAAACCCTTCCGCTTAGATGTCGTCATGGCGCGGACGTGTCCAGGTCCTTGCGGGCTTTTCGTTTCCCCCCCCCCGTTTTCTTCCCTATGGCAGGAGGCCCGCCCCAGCTTGGAGCGGCTGGGTGTCTGAAGTGGCATGCTCTGGTTCGGAAGAGCTGAGTTGGAGAAGAGGGTCAGAGCTCTGTCCGAGGCGGGAATTGATCCACATCCACCGCCCGGAGGGTCAGCTTTCGGAGCCTCGGCAGGCGGTGGCTATAGACAGATTCGGGCCCCGGGGGCCGAAACATGTCCATGTCCACCGCCCGCTGGGGCACCAGGACGTCGGTTCCCAGGCGGTGGATATACGGACAACTCCCCGCCTCGCCTTCTGTGCTCGGGGTGGTGTGTTGCCTGCTTCAGCTCCCGGGGGCCGCTCTCGGGCCCGGGGACAGCCCAGAAGCGGCTCGGGAGCGAAGCATTGTACCATGGACCCCAGGAGTGGCATGGCGACATATTCTGAGACGATCCGCTTTCATTCGAGCAGTGGCGAAGCGTCCTGGCTCGGCCATAGGCCTACCAGACGATGTTCTAAGAACCTGGTGCGGTTCCCACGAACTGTTTTTAGAACATTTCTGGCCGAGACCGTCTTGTTTCATTACATCGGGTGTATGCTCTAAGAACGTTGTGTTTGCTATTCAATCGCTTCGCTCATTCCGCCGGCCCATGTTGCATGATCGCTACTGCTTCGCCGTGGGCCTGGGGCCATTGTGGCGCCGCCGAGGAGGAGGAGGAAGATGAGGATTGGGGAAGGGGAGGGGAGGAGAGGAGAGGATGAGAAGGAGAGGAGGATGAAGATAAGTAGTAGGAGGAGGAGGAGGAGGAGGAGGAGGAGGAGAAGGAGGAGGAAGGGGAAGGGGCGGAGGAGGAAGCCTCTCGCTGGCATCGTGTGATGCTCTTGGGGCCAAACAAGGTCGTCGTCAAGATGCTTATTTGGGAGGTCTCTTGGGGTCTTTTGAGAAGCCGTTCGGGGGCGCCCTAAGAACGTTGTGCTTGTTATTAGAACATTTTGGGATTCTAAGAACATGTCGTGGTAGGACTGCAGGAATGCCGGGACGGTCGGTCCCTGCTCAATTCATCCCTCCCCTCTCTCTTGACAGATTTTCTCGGACCCATTCAGCTCAGACCCCCAGAAGGGCCACTCCGGCCACCTCGAGGGGCAGATGCGGGAGGAGGGAGAGCACCTACAATGACCTGGAGAACTGTTGCATTTTTCGCGCCCTGTCCATCCCTCGCGCCTCTCAGTTTCAATGTTTGCGCGGGTCGCCGCGCGACTGGAGGCTGGAGGCTGGGCCGTGCTACGAGGCACTGTCAGCCCCGTGTTGTTTTGATGCAGCTGCTAGTGCGCTGATGGTTCTCCTCGCGGTCTTCCTCCCGGGGCCCCTCCCTCGCCCCCGTTCCCTTCGCCCCCCCTCTTCCGCCCCGCAGCCGCCCCGTCGCCTCGGCCCCCCCCCCCGCAGCAGGCCCTGGCTCCCTTCGCCGTCGGCGGCGCCGCCCCTGCGAGGCGCGGTGCCCAGCCTCCCCCCCCCCCCGCGCGACCTGCAGGTTGATGAGCAGGGCACGAGGGAGGAGGAGGAGGAGGAGGAGGAGGAGGAGGAGGAGGAGGAGGAGGAGGAAGAGGTGGGGGTGGAGGAAGAGGAGGGGTGGGGGTGGAGGTGGAGGTGGGGGGTGGGGTGTAGGTGGAGGGTGGAGGTGGAGGTGGAGGTGGAGGTGTAGGTGGAGGTGGAGGTGGAGGAGGAGGAGGAGGTGGAGGTGGAGGAGGAGGTGGAGGTGGAGGAGGAGGTGGAGGTGGAGGTGGAGGTGGAGGATGAGGAGGAGCAGGAGCAGGTGGATGAGGCGGAGGCGGAGAAGGGGGCGGAGGCGGAGGAGTAGGAGGAGGAGGAGGAGTAGGAGGAGGAGGAGGACGAGGAGGCGGAGGAGGACGAGAAGGAGGATCCTGACATGATCGCAGAAATCAGGACGTGAGGCTCCTGGCCGTTTTCGACCCTTCGGGGACCTTGTCGGGCCAGAGGACCGTCAACAAAGTGACTCGGGATGAAGAGCCGGTCCTGGGCAAAGGGTTGGGAATTCTAGGGACACCGAAGTGGAACAATTTGGACATCGCATGTTTGGGGAGGAGGGGGGTGGGAGTGATGAGTGATGAGGGATTGGGAGGAGGAAAAGGAGGAGGAGGAGGAGGAGGAGGAGGAGGAGGAGGAGGAACAGCAGGAAACTGGAAGGCCTATGCACTGACTCCGGGGGGGGCGCCGCGCCCCTGTTTTTTGTTTCGCCGGCGAGCGTGGCGAGGGGGGAGGCTCAAGCTGGGCTCGCTCGCGTCAGATCTACTGTAACTTGCGTCCTACCCCTCCCTTACATCACTTACCATTGCGCTAATTTCCGGCCTGGATGGCGAAGATAAGCCAAGATGGACGCCATGGCGGCCAAGATGGCCTCCAAGAAGGCCAGGGTGGCTCCAGATGGCCCCCAAGACGACACCATGTGCCCCACCAAGAGTCCAAGATTGCCGAAGATGGCCCGAACACGACCCAGGACGCGTGTCATTGCGGACCGGGAACTTCGAGAAAGACCCCATCGCGTTTGGCCGTAATTGGAACATGGGAGCTGCGTGTACAGGAGGAGGGTGGGCGTCGACTGGAGAGCGTCCGCAGGGTGACGAACGCCATCAGGCTGCAGAATCAAAAGTTGAGCGGGTGGCCCATATCGTCAGGAAAGGCCAGCCCCACCGCCAGGAACAAATTAGCCGACTAGGACCTCAGCCGACGTGGGGTGGATTCCCCGTGCGGCCTTGTTCAGCTTCCTGACTTGCTTCTCTCCCTGGTGGACGGGACCTTTTGAGGCACCCGGGACCCCAAGGGTCACGCGGATTCGGTCCTATCATTATTTTAAGCGTTCGTCTCCTTATTTGTTTCTTGTTTTCGGTTGGCCCAAAGGTCTGGAACTTACGGGGCGGCCCGGCATGGAAATCTGTAGGGATATCGGCATGCGGCCTCCGTCGTCGCAGAAGGTTGCGGTTGGAGATTTATTGATGTCTTTGGTTGGGGGCATTCTAATTTCAAGGATGCCTTCGTTGTCCTTCGTCGGTTTCGGCCAGAACGCTGGGTCTGGCTCGTGAAACTCTGGCGCCCGAGTGCGCCCCAGAGGTCGCCCCGGAGCGTCGATGGCCACCCTCATCCCCCCCAGGGAACTCGCGTTCACAGGGATGAGTTCGTCGGGACGTTTCAAGCGAAACGCCCAATCCATCCTCAGTCGCACTCAAGGGCGCCCTGCAGGGCGCGCGTGGAGGGGCGCTCACCTACCAGCTTACGGGCGCGTTTGCAGGAGCCGCTCGCGCTGACGTCTTTTGGGCGCGCGCAAGGCGGGGAATCTGGGAGCGCGCCGTTGCGCGTGGCGTCAGCGTGTGGCGCCTGGGGACGCGCATCGGGCGCCATGCGCGGCCACTCACCTTAGGGTGAGCGTGCGCTGCGAGAGCGGGCCCGCGGGCGATCCACACCCGCGCCCACCTCAAGGGATTAGTTGTGCTGATCATGTGCTCTGGTTGAGGGTGTGGGGTTCGTCCTGTCATGCTGTCAGTGCGTCAAGGGGCAAGCGACCAGAAGCAGATGCAGCCACGGCCACATCTGAGCATGTCATGGCCACGGTCTTCTAATTCACGCGATGCTGCCACAGCTTCGCCCGTCGGATTTTTCGGGCGGGGGAGGATCGAGCAAGCCAGCAGACCAAAGGTTACCAGCCTCGAACGTATCCCTATCCCTAAGATTGACACGCCCAAAGGCGATGACAATCTCAGGGTTTCGCCCCCCAAAAATAAGGGAATCCCACATATTGGCATCGTGATGAGGAGATGCCCAGCATAGGAAAGGATATGTTCCAGGTTCCAGAGGGCCTGCTCCGCCTCCACCACGGCAGAACCTTCAGAGGCCGCACAGACTCGCAACCCGCTCGAAAGCACTCTTTGCCGTTCAAGGCCGAGACGGCGGTGGGCTTGCAGAAATTAGGGGGGCCTTTACACAGGCGCTGGAGTGTGGACGCAGCACAGCGCATCTCGTGTCGATACGTTCACTCACATCGAAACTACGGTCATGAGGCGAGAGAAAAGAGGACGGAGGAATCTTCGGAGCAGATGGCGAAGGAGGAGAGTCCGTCCACCTTCCAGAGCGGATCATACGGGCGGCGGCCTACAACACATAACCGAGGGTGGCCGTATGATCTTTCATGTCACCTTCAGATGCCTCCTGGGCAACATCGTCAACCATAGCACGGTTGAGAGCTAATTTGGCGAAGTAATCCGCCCACACATTGCTTGCTGGTTCTACAAGATCGTTTCCTCGCTCAAGAGCCTCCTCAGCAGTGAGGTTGGCAGAGGCCCACACAAACGCAAGACGTTTGGAGGAGAGAAGACTGGGCCCACTTGAGCGAAATTGGACCTCGAAATCCCAGCATGTTTCTTCATCCCCCCGGCCAACTCGGGATCCCATGTCAAGCCCTCCTGGACGAGGCACAGCACGTCGGAGACATACAACGCCAGGTTCGGATCCTGCTGGACAGCATGGAGGGCGGCAGTCAGTCCTTTCAGACCCCTCAGCGATCTGGACAAAACCCGTCAGCGTACCGAAAAGTGCACGGACAGGGCGCGCGTCCGAGCTCAGGGACCCACCAGCTCTGATCATTGCCGTTGCCGGAAGTCCTAGGACCGCAGACCTCCTGAGCTTCGCCGCACTCTCTAGTCTCCGCGTGTTCAGGCACCGAGGGCACCTTGGGCGAACACTCGGGAAAACGAGCTGACACACAAGGAGCCCCAATCTGGCCAGTCCGAAGTGCTGCCCCATGCCAAGCGTGGCGCTCGGACAAGACGTCGACCCGTGTCAGCCTTGCGCTCATCGGGGCTCAGGGGGTGTTCGGAGTCGTGCCGCAGGTGCCCGAAGAAGCCCCACGCAAAGGGGAAACGATCTCTCTTTTCCCTGGGCGCAGAGGTGGGCAGGGTCGGCAGGCGGTCGGCTCCAGGCGCACGTGGAGCACCCGGAGGGGCTGGCTGCAGATCACCAAGGCCCCGCCGAAGTGCACGTTCTGATGGGCGCGTTTTCAACCACCACCACCATAAAAGTTGCAAGGGGGTGGGGTCCTCCTCCTCCTCGCCCTCCTCCTCCTCCTCCTTCCCCCCTCCAACTTGTGGTGGTGGTGGGGATGGAAAACAGGCCCATGACGTTCCCATGCACCATGCTCGGGCAGGCGACAACGATGGAACATGGCTCGGATCCAGAGGTAGCGCCCGCGCATGACAGGGAGAGCCATACCGAAGACGAGGCCCAGGCTTTGTTAGCGGGAGCACCGTTCGGAATCTCCGAGCAAAGTCGAATGGTGTACAAGCACGTGATGCGCAACAAGCACGTGATGCACGGTGACGAACAACGTACGCGGAGAGGGCCAGGCATCTTCAAGACCGAGTCAGGGGAGAAAGGCTAGTAGTATTCATAGTGTGCATTTGTTCGTGCGGCGGCGCAGGGAACACAAGCAGGGGGAGGAGGAGGGGGATTGTGGGAAGTGGAAAAGAAGGAGGAGGGATGGGTGGAGCAGGTGCGGGAGACAGAAGGCGGAGGACGGAGGAGTGTGAAAAGGGGGTCCCTGTCTGTGGCCCCTCCATCCGACCCCGGATTCCCAACGCTTACTCGCCCTCTCTCTCCATCGTTCGTCCTATTTTCGTTCTCTTCCTAGTTTTGGGATGTATGTCCATGGAACGAACTTATCGAAGCTGTGCGTATCCCACCATCCCACGCACAGTCACCAGGCGAGTTGACCTAATCAATGATGCGTGGCAGCATGCAGTCACGCTGTCGGAGCCTTTTGAAGGCATATTGGAGCCATCGTCGGGCCTTGTGGGCTTTTTGGGGCTAGTTGTCCGGGGCTCTGTTGGGACACTCTTGACGCCTTTTGGGGGCTCTGCTGGGTACATCTTGGAGGCCTTGGGGACGAGCTTGGAGGACATCGATTAAACAAGGCGGCGGTGTTTATATCAGTTTCCCCTCCCAGGGCCACCCAAACCACCTCTGGGGGCCCTCCTGGGGCGCTGTTGGGCGCTCTTGGGGCCATCTTGGGCCCTTTTTGGGGCCCCTCGTTGGCCACATGTGGGCCACCTTGGGGCCTCTGGGGCTCATCGAAAGCTGAAGGACGAGACGGCGAACAACACTGACGTGCCGTGGATATTGGCCAGCTCTTGGCAGCTCGTGGGGTCCTTGGGAGGCGCCGTGGCCAACCGCGGCCCTCTTGGGACGGCCCTCGCGCCACGTGGAGGTATGCTGGGAGCTCTGGCGAGCCCTCCTGCGCTGTCTTGTTCGATGTTGGAGGCCATGCTGGGCTACCTGGGGGCCATCTGGGGTCAACTCGGACGGGCTAAGCCCTCGCGAGCTAGGTAGGGGAAGGAGGTAGGGGAAGAGCAAGAAAACCCTCCCCGCCCGCAAACCGTCTCGCTCACTCCCACCCGCCCTCCCAACGCATACGTAGCATCCGAACCTGGCCCAAACTGCAGCATATTCAACAGTCGTCTTTGGATGGGCAGCTGCTGGGGGCGAATCCGCCGCCGCCGCCGCCGCCGCCTCCGCCGCCGCCGCCGCCGCCGCCGCCGCGCCGCCGCCGCGCCGCCGCCGCCGCCGCCGCTGTCCGCCGCCGCCGCCGCCGCGCCGCCCGCCGCCGCCGTCCGCTGCCGCCGCCGCCCCGCCGCCCGTCGCCCCCGCTGCCGAATCGCCGCCGCCGCAGCCGCTGCCGCCGCAAGCGTTGCCGCCACCGCTGCCGCCGCCGCCGCCGCCGCCCCCGCCGCCGCCGCCGCCACTGCCGCCGCCTCCGCCGCAGCCGCCGCAGCCGCTGCCCCCGCCGCAGCCGCCGCAGCCGCCTCCGCCGCCGAGTTGTCTCTGCATTGTTGTTTGACAGGGATGGTTGGGGGAGGCCGCATCGGGCTCGCTGCGCATGCTCCGAATTTGGAGGCAGAGTGTGTGTGTGTGTATGTGTGTGTGTGTGTGTTCGTAATGTTTTTTGCAAGGGATGGTGGGGGGGGGGCCGCATTGTCCCTGGTTGGCTTTCAGTCGCTTGCGGGAGGGGGTGTAGATTAATAGGGAACAGTGATTTACCCTCCCCCCAAAGGACACTGGGAGGTTGGACGACACTGTTCCTTGAACCCCCATGCGCTCCAAAACGCGCGTGGGAGTTGGTTGTCCTTGGCGTTCCGGCGGACTGTATACATCGAGTACCAAGGCGGGCGATTATGCACACACGCACACTGCAAGCAACGATCGCATAACCGTTACAGATTTCCAATGTGAAGCACCAGCGCGAAGAAACCTGAATCACGAACGTGCAATACTTGCAGTGCCCACCAGGGAAATGTTGCTGGAGATGTGGCGCATGTGGGCGTTTGCGACGTACCGAGATCTGTGTTGCACATCCCGTTTTTGTGCCATCGTTGCATTCGGGTGCGAGCATGATGGTGTTACCGAGCTCTCCGGAACAGGGTTGCTATACAGCACTTACATGTCGGGGTCATATTGGACGTAAGGCTGAGATGCTGTAGTGTGACGTATCCTTAACTTCGCATGGCGATTGTGCTACTCCTCACTGTCCTTTCACAGTTTTCTTGAGGGTTCTTTGGGGGAAAAGCCGGCTACGCTAGCCGAGCAGCGCCACAAGGGAAGTCCTCGGCAACCGAAAGTGGGGACCGGTCTATCCAGGCAATCCGAGTTTCTTGAGGGTCAGGGTTTCTTGGGTTTCCATTTTGGGGGTTTCTGAAGGCTTCCTCATGAGCCATCAATGTGCCTTGAGGTCGCCTGAGGCGCGATGGTTCTGCCGCGCTCTGCCAGAGAGGCTCGGGGTAATTATCTCAGGGCAGTCTGGTCGTGTTTCGGGGCCGTCTGCTTGGAGCCGTAGGAGACCGTCTTGGGAGTTCATCAGTCCGATTTGGGGCTTGGTAGTGGTCTGTCTGGGCTGTCTTGTCTAATGGGCCTCCTCGGGCGTGTCCCCCAAGAATTTCCTCTCCCCCCCTCCTGCTCAGCAATCTTCTACAGTCGGGGCCCTGAAGAAGGAACCCTTCTCGTTGGGGAGGGGCTCCGCGTTCCTGAAGTGTTTCACAGCTTGCCTCAGGCTTTCCTTATGTTTTCGATAGGGAATCGAAGGTTAACTTACGGAAAAAAGGGGCCTCGATCCTTATTTAGGCTTCCTTAGGTCAACGCCCCGACTCGATTCTCCTCAGAGATTCTGGTCGCCCCAGTGAGGAAGCCAGCGCCGGTGCCCCAGACGGTGTACAACGCTGCGCCGAAGGCCGGGCAGGGCGTGAGAAAAAGCAGGAGAAGGGTGCCCTTTGGGTGCAGCAGGCTCTCACTGTGTGACCGCAGAATGCGAAATCGAGGAGTGGGGTTCGATGAGGAGGAAACGGAGAAGGAAGAGGAGTAGCAGCAGCAGCAGCAGCAGCAGCACAAGGACGGAGGGGTAATGACGACTCGGAAAAGCAGGAGGAGGGTGTTCTTTGGGTTCAGCAGACTCCTCACTGTGTGACCGCAGAATGCTAAATCGAGGAGTGAGGTTCGATGAGGAGGAAACGAAGAAGGACGAGGAACAGCAGCAGCAGCACAAGGACGGAGGAGGGGTGATGACGACTCGGAAGGGCACCAGGATGGGGAATTAGCAGAAGGAGGAAGGAGCTGGAAGGGATGAGGGCAGGTGTAGGAGGGTCATCAGTGTGTGAACGAGGAGGAGCGGGGAAGGATCACGAACGGCAGAACAAATGCGAGGGTGGAGGAGTTGTATTGGAGCAGGAGGCAGGAGTAGGGGACGCAATGAGGAGGGCGGGAGCTGTTCTTGGTAGGCGCCCCGAGGATTCAGGCGCGGTCTCAATTCCTTCTCGCGCGCGGAGCCCCCCAGGGGCTCCGCTGGAGTCGGCGCCAGGGTGTTGGGACCGCCCCGGTCTTCTCGGAATGCCTGTTGATCGGGCGTCGCGTAATGGCGGGGGAGGAACGCTAGGGCCTCGAGGGCTGCAGGAAAGGCCACTGAATAGGCCCTTCAGGGTCCAAAAGGGGGGGGCCTCTGGGGCCCGAGAAGTGCACCTTTATCGCGCCCCCATCAAGCGACGCCCAAGAGGAGGCCAGCTGGGGCTACTCGGGGGGGGGCTGTCTGCGCGCAACACGAAGCCTTGCCACGTTCGCCGCTCGTGACGGCCCGAGAGGGTCGGTCGGACGAGGCTGGGACGAGGAGAATTTGGAACGCTCTCCGAGCGACCGCTCTGAGAGCAGGCCGCGGCGCCCGAGACATCCTCCAGAGCCGCCGGATTCCAGAGATTCCGAATTTATCCTTACCCGAACTTGACCTCGTCCTGGATTCGTCCAAGAGGGGAGGAGGAGGAGGAGGAGGAGGAGGAGGAGGACAGGAGGAGGAGGAGGAGGAAGAGGAGGACAGGAGGAGGAGGAGGAGGAGGAGTAGGAGGAGAGGAGGAGAGGAGGAGGAGGTGGGGAGGAGGGGAGGAAGGGAGGGGAGGAGGAGAGGAGGAGGAGGAGTAGGAGGAGAAGGAGGAGGGAGGAGGAGGGGGAGGGAGGAGGGAGGAGGAGGAGGAGGAGGAGGAGGAGGAGGAGGAGGAGGAGGAGGAGGGAGGAGGAGGAGGAGGAGGAGAGGAGGAGGAGGAGGAGGAGGAGGAGGAGGAGGAGGGGAGGAGGAGGAGGAGGAGGAGGAAGAGGAAAAGGAGGGGCGGAGCGAGCGCGCGCGCTCTCTTCTGCCGCAGGCGGCCCTCTCGGCTCCGGGGGGGGCGGCCGCGCGCCGCTCGGCGCGCCCCGCGGGGATGCCCCCGTCACGCGGGGGCGGCGGGGCGAAGGCGCACCGGGCCAGGGGCGCACGAGGCCGGTGCCCGTCCCCGCCTTCGTGCTCGCCCTCCTCGCCCTCGTCGCTCTCTTCGCCCTCGCCCTCCTCGCCCTCCTCGCCCTCCTCGCCCTCCTCGCCCTCCTCGCCTTCCTCGCCCTCCTCGTCCTCGTGCTCGCCCTCCTCGTCCTCCTCGCCCTCCTCGCCCCCCTCGCCCTCCTC